GGGAGGGCGCGAGTAGCTGGCGAGAAGCGGAGCGGCGGGCAAGAGAAGGCGAGGAGAAGTGAGGGTCCTCGTCTCCGACCACCGGCCGCCTGCCTTCGCCGCTTGGCAACCTCCCCTCCGGCCCCGTCGGAGAGAAGCGAGAGACCGGACTGAAGACGAGGGGAAATCGAGAGCTTTCTAAGGATAGAACACAAACCGTTTTCGTCATTGATTTGGGGTTGGTTTGGGGGTTTTTTTGTTTTGGGTTTTTTTTCTGTTTTGGCGTGTGTACAACTAGCATTTCCCCCCACACACCTCTCCCCCCTCCACATGCCCCTTTGCCTTTTCCCCCTCCCGTGCTTCGGGGATGCGCAGCCGCAACCTCGTGTCCGTTGTCCTCAGCCGAGGCTGCGCGGAGCGGCAGGAGCTCTCCTCCCGCCTCCTCCTCCGCCTCCTCGGGCATGCTGTCGTGGTACTTGTAACATTTTGCATGAATGAAAATGAACCCTTATCTGTATATAGCATCCTATAGCGGTAGTCCTCCCAGCCATGTGGGTTGAGCATTGCAGATACAAGTGTTTTCCTTTCACTGGGTTTTATTTATTTTAGCTAGTTTAGTTTCGCCATAGGTTTTCGTTCGTTTGTTTGTTTCCTCTTTAGCGGGGGTAAAAAGGAGGGGGAAAGCTCTCCCCGTTTATTGCTCGGCCCGTGGCTCCAGGAGAAGCAATAATGGCCACACAGATGTAGGTTTCCAGGGCAGGAAAACCCCACAGCCCAGAGACTGCAGGCTCCATCCCCCCCTCTTCTCCTGGCTGTGGTCACACCACCACCACCACGGCGGCTGGTCCGGGACGTGCCGAAGCTGCTGTGAAGACCTCCACCATCCACAGGAGGTTTTGCACAAGGTCCCAAGCGGGATGAGCAGCGTACCAGCCCCGGGGCGGGGGGGACACGAGCATCACTGGCTCCCGGCACCGCGCCTGCCTCTGCCTTTATAGCTGGCGGCTGCCTCAAAGCCCCTTGGACCCCCCTCCGACCCCGTGTTCCCAGAGGTCTGGTGACAGCCCCTGTTTCTGAGCGTTAAGCCATCAGGGTCAGTCCCCAAAGCTGATCCTCTTTCCCACAGCCATTTGGAGGCAAAATAATTCAGTGTGAAGGGCTGAGCTCTTCCCACCCAGCGGAAAACCCCCTCTGAGCCTCCTACCGGAACCAATCGGCTGGGGGTATTTGTGCTCATTTTGAACAATCTTCGGAAGTTTTAATCAACCTGTTGTGAGATTTTTTCTCTAGGAGTACGAAGCCGTGGGATTTTTTTAATTTTTTTTTCCTTCTCAAGCCTTTTTCTCACTTTTGATGGGGTTTGGGGGTTTTCTTTTTGTTTCTCATTGTTTTGGGGGAAGAATCAAACGCAGGCACAGGTTGTTCAGGTTTATGATTACCTTTATGTAAAATTATTTCATTTTCATCTGTTTGGCTTCATTGATTTTTCTTTGTGTGTATTGCCCACCGTTATAGGCAGTGAGCCCACTAATTGTGATGATCCTTATCAATGGTACACAATGCACAGACAAATAAAGTTTGTAATGATTCCTGATGGATCCAGTAGTGCTCCTGCATATTCTCCGTGGAAAACCCTTCCTCCCTTCCCCTCCCATTGTCTCCCTTTTATGTTGCACCCATCTCTTCTTTACTCATTGTTTTGCCCCCATCTCACGGCTTCCCTCCCGCTCCATCTCCATCGTGCCTCCGGCTTGGCTGTGCTGCGGCGGTACAGCCGGGGCTCGCTCTCCAGGGGATGCAGGTAGAGACGCTGTGGTACCGCTCTCAGGGGGATGCAGGAAAGCGCCCAGGGACACAGCTGGTTCTCCCCCATGGGTGCTGGCTTGCCCTCGGCTTGGGGAGAGCCGTGCACGTGCCCCAAAAGGTACTCAGCAGCTCTTTCTGCTTGTGTCCTCCAGTTATACAGAACTGCTTCTGCGCATGTTCCAGCCTCACGGTAACTTGCGCTAGGTTAAGCCACTAGCTGATGAGAAATGGGAATGCAAGAGGTGCGTTACCAGGGCAGGGTCCAGAGCAGACCTGAGACACGGCACGAGGTCGCCCAGCACACCGGGAGCTCGGGCTGCCCCTGCCCCAGTCCAGGTGTTGTGGGGCCATCTCTGACCCACGTGGCTCGACGGAGCTGAGGAGGAGAAAAGCCTCTACGTGCCCAGGGATGTTGCTCCTCCCTGCGCTTCATCCAGCATCAGGGCTAGAAACATGCCACCAAGCACGGAGTGTGAGGGTAAGGAGGCGGCTGTTTTCATCACAGCTTGACCGCGTCTGCAAGAGCGCCAGAGGCGGTAAAAATTCCTGTCAGCCGCTGTGAGGGGATGCGTGGCAGAGCAGGTAACTCGCCCTGCGGGTGCTCAGCACCCTCCAAGATGAGTGCAGGTCAAGCCTCAACGCCTGTCAAGACCCAGGCGGACGCAGCCGGTCACGTCCATCTGCTTTCCCCAGGCAGTGAATTATGCAGCTCTCCCGACCCGGTAATTACATCTGCCGAAAGGTGATGTTGGCATTTCACTCTCATCATTTGCTTTTTCGGAATGAATTGCAGTCGCTGAAGTCATTAACAAGTCGAACGGGACTTGCGTAGCCGCTCGGTTTTAACAGGCGGTAAATAACTGTTCCGCTCACAGAGGTTTCTGAAGGGAATGATGGAGCATCGCTCACTTAGGACAAGGCCTAAATCACATAGTAAACACCAGCTTTGTTTATGCACTTGTTCTCTGCCAGCCGTGTGCTTTTTAGCACCTTTTAACGAGCTTGTGCAAAGCGCGCCACGTATTTGCCCACGGAGGAGCTGCGGATGAGCATCCCTGGATGCTTGCCCTGCCGTGCCAAGGAGGATGGCATGGACTGCTTCGCTCCGTCCGTGTCTGCGAGGGTGGAACGCCTGCTCCTTAAAAGCATGCCATGCGGCACCAAGGATGTTCAAGAGACAGGCACCCGAATAACTCAACTGGCCACCACGAAGCGCTTGGGAAGGAGAAGGAGAAGGAGCATGCGGAGCAGCAACAGCCCTGAGCATCCCAGCCAAAACCATATCCCCAGCTCCCCCGGGCGGGGGGACAAAGGAGCGAGGAGGCAAATCCCAGCCGCAACCTGAACAGATGGAAAAGGTGCAGAAGATCCAGGGCTCCACAGGTCGGCACAAACCTGCAGCATGTCCGGGCTGCTCCCACTCGCCCCCGGAGAGATGCCAATCCTTCCTCTCCAACCAATGCACCCAACCAGCACGCCGTGCCTCTGGGGCCAGGGGAGACTGCAGGAGGCGTTCGTGCATCTTCCCCCCCCTCCCTGCTTTGCCTCGCTTCCTTAAAGGACAAAAGGGAAAAGGGAGGCGTTGGGCGCTTTCTGGTCACGAGGCTGGATGGACTCTATAAACTCACCGTGCTATTTCTGCTAGGGGCCGGGTTGGGGCAGAACCGGAGCCCATGTGTTATTGTTACAGCTATTTTTAAATGCTTGGGTAAGAATCAAGCGCAAGGGTGTCGAGGGCCGTATACATACCTAAGGAGGCGGCTCAGCTGCATTCCTGGCAGGACAGAGCTGGGCATAGCCAAAAAGTGACACAGAGAGAGAAAAGAGGGGAAAACTTAACGCCGGATGGCATTATCCCGGGAGAAACCCCTACGTTATTTTCCTGGAGGCTTTGGCACCCAGGGCCCATCTGGGAAAGCATGTTTGCAGAGCACCAGGAACTTCTCTGGCTTCTCTGAGCGTGCCACGACCGACCACACACGCGCGCACACGTGCACAGCGCAGCGGCAGAAAAGCCTGTTTCTCTTTTAAAAAAAAAAAAAAAAAAAAGTGGGTTTGCCCAGGAAAGCATCCAGAGGCAGCTGTATTCTTGCAAAAAGCACCAAGGGACAATAAATACAGTGAGATTCCTCACCTTTTAAGGACTTGAGCCTTCCTCCTTTTGGAAGTGGAGGTGCCGGGAGCCTCTCACCAGCCAGCAACACCCCTCGCGCAGAGGGACAGGGCCAGTCTGGCCAAGCAGGAGCTGTTATCAGCGAAGACTGCTGTTACTTAGCAGGATTTGCTGTCTACAGCACTTCCCCGAGAGCATCCAAGGGGACTCCGCAGGGTCTTGCTGCTTCTCTGGAGCATCCCAAGAATGGCCAGCCCTGCCCCTCAGCACCCAGTGTCCCCAAGGTGGCTCATCACCCTCGTCCTGCGCCCTCCCTTGGCTCCTTCTCACCCTCCCAAGGTGAACACCAGCTCCGGGCTCCCCCGCCCCAACTCCCCGACCTTAGAAATGTGACGGAGGACACTTTGTGTACATGCTGTTCCCAAAGCAGCCGCTGCGGAGCAGCGGAGCTGGGCGCTGCCGGTGGGATGTCCAGCACCAGAGGGGTCACGGGGAAGGGAGAAGTGCCCCAGGGGTCCCACCATCCGGACCTGGAAACCCTCTTTAAGGCACTGCCCCAGTGTATCCCCCTGCTCCAGCTGCCCTGGCTGTGGACGTGCATCTCAATTTCTGCATCTCAGAGCCTCCAGCTTTTTTGGCTGCCTGTGGGCACCAACCCCAGGCTTTATTTTTACCTATTTGCTTTGAAATAGCCCTGAATCTGTTGTACTGCGCTACAGCAGCTCTCCACCCCCTCCCCGCACGCG